ACTCCCCTCCAATTGCCGCACTGAGGACCGAGCGCACTGCCCCCCACCAACCGGCGCGCCAGGAGGGTACTACACTGAGCGCGGCTGACCGTTACTCTTTGATTTTTTTTTTTTTTGTGTGTTTAGGTTTTAGAAAATTATTATTATTATTTTTTTAAATAAACCCAACATGAACCAGCCTAGCGCAGGCGCCCCAGCCAGCACAGGAAAACATTACTCACCTGACGGCACCCCAGGAACTGCTGGCGGCACCATAGAAGAGACAGCAGCTTGAAAAGAGGAGTCCATCACATGCAGCGCAGTTGCCATGGCAACTGGAGCTTCAGACGCCACCTGCTGGACGGATCCGTCAACTGCACCCAAAGCCTGAAGCATCAGTAGAGAGAGGAAGAGCCAACGCTCCAGGACAGGAGGCTGCCGAGACAGGTAAAGAGAGGGGGGGTGGGGACAATAATGAAAGAGGAGGGAACAAAAAGGGGGGAGGACACAACAAAGAAAGAGGGGGGACAATAAAGAAAGAGGTGGAACACAATAATAGAGGGAGGGGTTAGGGGGAACAACAATGAAAAAAGAGGGACACACAATAATAAAGGAGGACACACAATAGTAGAGGGGGAGACACAATAATAGAGGGGGAGACACAATAATAGAGGGGAGGGGCAGGGAGCACACATTGCCTGCGGACCCCGCGGGCAAAAGAGGGAGAGGAGGACCGAGACAAGTAGAGCCTCTGAGGGGGATCCAGGACCCCTCCCAACCCAGTGGCAGTGGCTGAGAGCCACCCAGCGTGCCCCACAGGGGGCCCACTTACTACTGCTGGCCGAGAGGGGAGGACCCCGGGCGGCATCCCACACGCCGCCCAGGTCGATTGCTGAGCTTCCACCCCCCCCCCACTGCCTCCAGGGGGGGCACGGTCCACCTCAGATGCCACCACCCGGACACCGGCGGTGGAAGGACAGGGCGCGGAGCAGGCCGCGCGCCACGTTGTCCAGGCGTGCTGCCCTGTTGAAGACTCGGGCCCGGGCAGCAGATCCTGTACCGGGCCCGAGGAGGAGAGTTTGGGTGCACAGAGCCTGAGGGAGGGTGCCCAGAGAGGGAGACACAGTGAGGATGCCCAGGGAGGGAGACACAGTGAGGGTGCCCAGGGAGGGAGACACAGTGAGGGTGTCCATAGAGGGTGCCGATGGAGGGTGCCCAGGGAGGGAGACACAGTGAGGGTGCCCAGGGAGGGAGACTCAAGGAGGGTGCCCAGGGAGGGAGACACAGTGAGGGTGCCCAGGGAGGGTGCCCATGGAGGGTGCCCAGGGAGGGAGACACAGTGAGGGTGCCCAGGGAGAGCCAGACCGCTGGGGAGGGGAACCTCACCTCCAGGCCACTGGGGATGGAGGAGGTCACCGTCTGCAGCAGCACCAGCCCTGAGGACACACAGGATGGCTGTAAAACCAGGATCCAGCATCCAGGTCGCCCAGGCAGAAATCCAGCAAGCCCAGCAACAGGAGGAGGCAGAGAAACTTGTTGCTGGCCCGGCTCCTAAGTGACACTGAGGTCAGTCTGATCTGTCACCACCCACTTCCTCACATCTCACACTCCCACATGTAGCATACAGCCAATCATGCATCATCCATCCCACACTCATACATGGTCCCCTGTCCGCTAAGCTGCGCACTCTCCCTGGGGCCTTATCCCATTCTGGATCTTCAAGAAGTGGCAGTCCTCCTAGCAACATTTGGACTTCCACAGGACTCACTTGGCCAGGCTGGACCTGTTGCACCCCATTGATGGAATCCAGTGAGTGTAATTGCATTCACTCCACGACAGTCTAAGTTACCGCATGTAACCTCTAAAGAGGTATGCTATGCTAGCCTAAATATGTTCCTCATAAGTTAATTTTGTTTATGTTTAAATGTTTTGTGTTTTCTTTTGTTAAAATGTTTGTATGCATACATTGCTCTCAGACCAATTGGTTTTAAGATCAACCTTCAACCCCGCCTCTGATTATATTAACATTCAGACACTCTTTTCACTGCAGTATCGTAACATAAACCTATCATGTTAAACTTTATATTTTATATTATTTTAGTAGATTTTATAGCAAATCATTTGATTATATATGGCACATCACTGTTTCTATACCGCATTTCCTTGAATATTGTCGAAAGAGGTGTATAGTACCACTAACAGTTTATCCACACTAAAACATAAAATCTCAGCCCGTAGCAAGTAAAGCATAATGCTAAATTTTATAACTTGAAAGCCAGTATGTTACTGTACACTTACTGTATTACTTATCCGATATGCAGGTATGTTTTTACCTGAGACAAACTAATACTACAAGAGAAAAAGGCGCTACAATTTTTTTTTAAATATCAGAAAGAGAGCTGAACCTTTTAAGTGCCAAAACCCAATATATAAACACTCAAAAATGATGAAAACAAAAAGAGAAAAAAGACGTGCTATATCTTTAAGACAAAAAAAATAAAAATTCAAAGTAAACAACATATCTTAAATTCCAAATGTGCAATTATTCAAAATGTGCCAGTCAATTCAGTGGAGTATAACCGTACGTAACCAGGTAAGATAAAAATACGTACAAAAATAGAAGAAAAGTCACTTGTGTAACAGTGATAAAACAGTTATTCATGCATAGTTGTGTAAAAACTTTCACAAGTATAGAGCAGAGGAGTCTGCTTTAACTATAGTAGCTCCATGATAATCCTGGATAAGTGCAGGCAGATGGCTGTGATAGGTGTAACCAGGGCCGGCCTTAGGGGTGTGTGAGCTGTGCACATGGGGCTCACACATGGCCGGCCGGGATTATATATATTTTTTTTAAATCGCCCAACTATGCGGCGGGGCGGAGATTACTGAAGCGGGGATGGGGCTTACCATGTGGCGGAGGCGGAGCTAAAATGACAGGGCGGGGCTAAATGTGCCTGGTAACTGCAGCATGGGAAGCAGGAAGGAGTTCCTGCTTCCCCAACAACCAGTCTCCAGGAGCTGCATTGCCGGTCTGCCTCCACTCCTCCATAAGGAATTATCTGTGATTATCTGCTTGTGTATTTTTATCTGAATTAAATATCCATCACACACAGCCAATAAACCCAGAAAAAATATCACCTACAACAAACACACGCATATCACACACAGTTAATCCACCCATTACAAATATCATACACAGCCAACACATAGCATACCTATCACATACACAGACAACACAAACATTACAACATATTATAGTGAGATGTATTACAGTAGAGCTCTGGTATATAAAATGCACATTACACTGTGTTTTATAGTTAGGGTGCTCGGTGATATACTAATAGGCACATTACTTGGAGTTGTATTGTTGTGTAGTGTTTGAGCTTGTCACAGAGTTCCACATTACCATGAGTTTTATTGTTGTGGAGCTCTGTGATAAACTGGCACACAGCACACGACTGTGAGG